CTTCACCCATACATAAGCCAAAGGAAGATTATTTTTAAACATCCTGGCCAGGTGCAGTGGCTCACACCTGTAATCCCAGCACTTTGAGAGGCCAGGTGGATGGCTTGCAGCCAGAAATTTGAGACCAGCTGGGCAACACAGTGAGATCTGCATCTGTACAACAAATTTTAAAAAATTAGCCAGGCGTCATGGTTGTGTGCCAGTAGTCCACGCTATTTGGGAGGCTAAGTCAAGAGGATCACTTTAGCCCAGGAGTTCAAGGCTACAATGAGTTATGATCATGCCACTGCACTCAATTCTAGGCAACAGAGTGAGACCCTGTCTCAAAAAAAAAAAAAAAAAAATTCTTTGAAGAACTCCTGAATTTTCCTAAAAAAATTCTATTGACACTACTACCTCTGTTTAGTTCTCCTCTTTCTTGCTAGTTAAAGATGACTTAGAACAAAAACATTTGTACCTCCTTAATATTTTGAAATTAAAAAAGACTTAGTCCTCCATTAAAGGTTCTGATTATGCTAAATAAATACTTAATTTTTAAGGAGCAATTCTAACATAAGCATTAAACCCTATCACTCACTATCATCTCACCTCTTGGTGACATAAGAGCAGATGATTTCATTCATTTTGTAACAAATAGAGAAGAGTTTGCTATTTTTTAAAAAAAAAATGCAAGGGCTGGCAAATGTGTATGTTTCTAAACTTTAATGGTCTAGCATCATTTTAAGATGAAATTAAAAATAAACTTTGGAACCTTAATTTAAAGCATTGCCCAAATTGCTTAGGTAAGACATGATATACTTTTGTGCTAAATAATTTTCTCATAGCTTTGCATTTCTTTCTTTTCATTACCCTCCTTTCCTGGCCCCTCACTGTCATCATGCCTTGCTACCTCCACTTTACTCAGTGGTTGGTTCTGTGCCCGTGCAATGTTTTTGCCGAGGTCTAGAGCTTGACTGTGATGAAACCAATTTACGAGCTGTTCCATCAGTTTCTTCAAATGTGACTATGATGTAAGTAGAAAAGAATGGCTTCATCCTGACAGCCAGAAAGCACCTGAAAAATTGTATTGTAATTAAGACTATGTCATTACTAATAATATAGTTTTATCCAAAGATGATGTCATTGTTCTTGGGTCACTTATAATGAATACTGATGTTTGTTTTGCATTTACTAAATGCTTGACTCTATTTTAAGTTATTCCCTATATTAACGTATTTAATCCCTTATAACAATCCTATGAGGTCTATAGTATCACCATATTTTTTTCTAAACAAAATATTTTTTTCTATTTCATCAATTGCATGTGCTACTAAAGAAAAAAGACTGCTAATTAAACTGTTACATAGAGTTTTCCTTCCACATAGAATTTTTACTTGACATTTATTGAAAAAGCTTTTAGAATTTATTGAACATAAATTTAATACTCTCTTACGTATAAACCTAAAGAGAAAACAAGTAAGATAAATTGGATACACTATTCTCAGAACTTCACGTTTAAAATCTAACTCTTCTGAATAACATTTTTGCTCAGAGATGTTGATTTTTTTTCCTAAGTAATTCAAACTTTGTATATAAGAGAAAATTATCCTCATAATAAGTGGTTTGTTGATTTCCAGTACTTGTGGTTGTTGGTTTCTAGTACTCATTTGAATTCAACCAAACTTCAGCAACACAAACACACATTTGGCTGAAACTTTTAAAAAGAAATCAGTGGAAGATGAATATTTTAATCCAATATTTTTTGCTGAGTTTTTTTTTTTTTTTCCATCCAGATGTCTTAGTGCCTTGTGGCTCTAACTTTTGGGTATATGAAGACAAAATAGGAGCAATTCTTGAGTTTACAAATTTGGCAAGTTTTACGTTTTTCAAACCAAACCACATAACACAGAAACTCAAATGCTGGAGGGAAGAGCCATAGCTCAGAGTTCTGGTAGATAGTGGTACCATCAAATGCACAGAATCTTGGGAGTGTACCCAGTTTCTAGCAGCCTAGGAATATGAACTGAGAACATTGACAAGGTTTTCCAAAGGAGGTGACATTTCCACCTGAACTAAGGAAAAGAAAAGCTCTTCACCATTCTATCCTCTCCTTGCCTCACTGTGACTTTTTCTCACAGCAATTAGTCCAACTACAAAAAAATAATACTCCCCCCAAAGAAGCTGAGGTCCTGTGGAGCATTTCTCTGATTTAAATTCTAACTGGAAATACTGGGTATAAGAATGTATGATGATTTCATTCTATTAATATTTTCAGAGAAAAAAATCATTATTGCCCCTCGCCACTGATTGTATCAAATTACTACAAAATGCAAATCAAAGACTACCCTGATGCTCCCAGTCCCATTTTTCATTTTCCCACAAGTAAGATTTGAAACCGTTGTTCAACAATTCAACCAACCCCTGTAAAATAAAGAAACAGGAAGAGAAAGGTGGAGGAACGGTAGGGAGTAAAGCAATGACTAACTAGAGAGGGCAGCTCACCCAAAGGGTGAATAATTTAATTGAATTAATTCCAATTTAATTTTTAAAAATTGCTCTGGTCTAATACATACATGAAGAGATGTGTGCAGGCCTGTGGCCCACCAGTTTTCAACCCCTAGCATAAAGAAAAAACTCCAGGACCAGATCCTTGTGAACAATTGGCTACAAGAAGGCAAGGGAGGAGTAAAAGATGACTCCAAGGTTTCCCTCCAAAGTCACAGAGTGAGCTAAGAGTTGGAGGCAGGAAATGAGGCAGACTAAGACTTCAATGTTAGATTTCTTTTTTCAATTTGAGATTAACATGTCACTCAATGGAAATTTCCAACAAGTATTTAGAGTTGTAGGAATAGAATCTCAGGAATTTATGTCAACAATATTTTATTTTATATTTTGTTCAGAAATACATTCTCTTGTACTTTGAATAGAGCCACTTGATTCTGGTTGATCCTTTAAACTTTTCTCTGTAGAACACTCGCTCAGCCTCATACCTTGTGCCAGTCTGTTCAATGCTGTAGGGAGAAAGAACTACAAGCTTTACAGCAAATACATTAAAAAATAAATACCAATTTCATTACTGAATTCTTTCCAGATTTTGAGCTGGAACTATTATAGATAACTGTCATAAATGGACTAAATCATATATAAGTATCAAAGAAGCCAATAATCCAAGAAATGTTTATTGAAGTTGGGATTTTTGAAAAACATTTTACATAAATGCTAATGAACAAAACAAGCAAACACAGACAGATGTGATTATTTGTACATTGTTCCAGCTTGCTAAACATTATCTTTGACTATTTGAGAGTTGATTCTGAGATCCTGGAATTTAATCACGAAAGCTACATGATCCAATTGTAAGAGATTTCTTTAAAAACAAAACAAAACAAAAAATGAGAGCTGGCTTTGATAATAATGATAAAAGTAGGTAGTTCCTCTCTTACACACACACTCTTTGACTCTTTGTGAAGAATCAAACTTGGAATATCAGATTTTAAAACATAAGGATTTATTATATTAAAAAGTATTTTAGTTTGTTCTGCTCAGTGAGAATAATAACATCTACCTCTTTCAATTTCAGTAGATTATAAAATTATAGAGAATGCTATTTGTGAAAATACTTCATGTCATTTATAAACCCTCATCACTTTTAATAAGAACCCAACTCTCTAAGAAACATTACTTAGGAGTCCTTAAATGAGCCTCCCTTCCCTTTGTAGTAACCCTCCCCACTCAAATACAATTAACCTCTTTCTATTGAGGAAAGAGAAGAACCTCAAAGAACCTCACCTGTGTCTCTTTTAAGTCTATTAAACATTCTTCCTTGTACTATTGTGATTAGGGCCCTATTCTCCACCTGAAAAAAGGAAATACCATAAGCTCTTTGGGGTCCTGCACCATGCATGGTTTTCCTATATATCCTCCAAAGTTCCTAACAGAGCATGATAATCCCTAAAAAAAATTTTTGAAATGAATTTATAAGTAAATAAATACAATAAAATAAAACAAGCTGATTGCCTCTTTAGCCCCGGGCTGTAAGACTGAAGTTATCATCCAAAAAAAAGTCTCTATTTATAGATATAGTGTGTTATTTGTTATCTAAATAAGGGTATAAGCTTCTTAAGGGCAGTGACATTGTCTGTTTTTCCAAAGTGCAAATGGCAAGCATTCAACAATTTGTTAGACAATGAATGAATGAATGAACACATTTTTAAGACTACGCTAAGCTTTCATCTATATCCTTAACCCAAACCCAAATATTTTGCAATTTATCTTTACACAATACAAACATTTGAGCAGATATGAAGCAGAATTTGGAATCTAAGCCAACTGAGAATTATTAGTAGAAAAGGGACTCTCAATTAGCTAATAATGTAAGGAGGGAAGAATGTTTGGCAACAGCCAGCAACTGAGACTGATTTCAAGACAGGGTTACTAGCTGATCAGCATTTGGTATTCATTCACTTAAAAAATCATTAAGTGACTAGTGTGTATGGTATAGAAGAGTGTTTCTTAACCTTCTTTCTTTTCATTATTGCCTTCCTTCCCCCAGAAGCCTTTTTAGACATGTCTTCCTATTTGTTCCCTTTTATACATGTAAAAAGTAAGATTTTTTTTTACTTTCTAAGAACCAGTTCTCATCCCCATTGAGCATGCATGGTCACACAGATTCCAGAACATTTCTCAAATTAGATTCCAAAAATGTGTTCCAGAGAGTCTGAGAAACTATTTTCTTCAAGGATTCATTACTAAGTTTGAGCAACACTAGTCCGAAATCTAAATATTGTTAGTGCTTATTATATGACACTGTCTTAAGCTGAGTTAAGTTAACCTCCAGACAATGCAGTCTGTTGCTCATTGAATGACACCCATTTGTTCCATTATACTATGCAAAGATAGTTGTTATATTAGCATCTTATTGTTAGAGATCATCTAATCCAAATCCCTCCTTTGACTAACTTGGAATGGTTATGTGTGGTTCATGCAAGGGACCACATACATTGGTTTTGGTTTTTTGCTTGTTTGATTTATTTTGTTTCTACTACATTACATTGCTTTTCTTAAAACAGCTAAAGGCTTAGCACTTTTCCAATACAACCACAATTTTGTGGATCTGGTCTGTGTTAAACTGCTTATTAAATTGTGATACAGGTGAAAATCATTCTCTATGACTTATTGGAAATTGAAATGGGATCACTTATTGAATAAAAACGGTTCAACTATATGTACCAATTGACAGTTTTCTCCATAACTAATTTGAAGGTCGTAGAATATAAGCAATGAAATATTGAGGAATATAAAACTATTTAAGTTCTTGAGTGTATTTTAAAAAGAAAACACTATTCTTATTGTCAGTCAAAACTAAGATGTCTTCTAATGTTTGTTAAATAAAAATAGAAAAAAATAACTAAAAATTAATTTTTCCCAATTTTATTATTTGTAAAATTTTTGTTATAATTATAATGTTATAACCTAAATTTAAGAAAAATTGCTACCTTTAATAACACAAAATCAACAGTTAGACCTAGTTCAGATGATGCTATAAATATGAAAGTGACATCATGATGTAAATGTTTCCTGAAAATAGCGTTAGTTTGTAATTATCTATATTGCTGTAGTTGAAAAGTAAAGTAAAAAACAACTTTAAGAACCAAAATTTACATTTATTTCAGGTCACTTCGGTGGAACTTACTAAGAAAGCTTCCTCCTGATGGCTTCAAGAATTACCGTGATCTTCAGAAGCTGTAAGAAAAAAAATTAATTCTGGTATTAAAATAAACTAGCATTTGGGGGCATATCTGTTTCTTCCCACTTACGTGAAGACCAACACTATACCACTGCTTGTGTCTAATCTCTCTTCAGGGAATTATTTTGCTATTAGCTGGAGACTTCCAAGTAAAATTTATTCTGAATAGTCCTAGAAGCCATTCTAGAAAAATCTCAGATACCTAATTACCAAAGAAACAGGAGCATGTGTGCTGGGAATCCTATTACACTCCTCAGTCTTTTGCCAGATCTGCCATCTGGATTAGATAGCGAAGAATTTTCTTCCAAATGTTTTCAAATTCAGTTTCTACCTAAGATAGCAAGTTATTGAGGTTTGAAACCACTGAGCTTGTTGTTTGGGGGACTTGATCCCGTTTTCACATCTGCCTCATAGGTTGAGTTTTATTTTGGCCTTGAGTGGTATCTGACATGCTGGCTTCCCTTCAGTTTAGGGTCACATATGTATTCTTAAAAATCCACAATGGCCCAGGTGGTGTTTACGTGTTATTTAGGTCAACTTTGTGACTAAATTATATTATCATATTCTTGAATTGTTGAGTTTAGATATTCTATACTTAAATCACATTAGCTAGAAAACATCTCAAAATTCCATGTTTCATTTTATACCTGTACTGGTTTTAGTTTTGGTCTTACACTAGAGAAAGCTAGTAAATAAACATATCTACACATTTTTTAAAGATCAAAGATGGAAATATTACAGAATGACAAGAAGAATTAACCTATTTCATTCAGTGAAATGCTCTAAAAACCCAGATAATCTACAGAAAAATATATTTCATATTTGAAAATAAAAATTCTAATTAAAATGACTTTTCAGAATTTCATTCTGAACATTTATCAATCAAAAGAAAGGAGCTTTTCAAAATTAGGCCTGATAACAAAAACTTCAAGAGGATACTTTTCTAACTCCAGAAAATAGAATAAAGAAGAATTTAGAATCTAGAAATTCTGATTTCTGGAGTCTAAGGAATTTTTCTGATTTCTAGCATCATAATGTCCACATGATTTAAAGGAATTAGACTATAAATCTAAATATCAAAATTCCTGTTTATATAACACAGTGGTTTAGCATTTTTGCATAATAAATGTCAAATTAATTCTTCAATGGCCAATTTGTTCCAAGTAACAAAATTGCCTAATTACAAAAAAATTTCTAATTAGTTATTAAAGGTATAGCTTGGCTTTACCTCCAGGCTATGCAGTCTAATGCTTAGTAGATCATTCTAACAGAAACAAACAAATAAATGCATATTAAAGTCTTTCTGTGTATAAGTAAGGAAGATGCATTACTACTGTGTGGTTGGGCCAACACATGTCATGGAAATTGTCAAGTGCATAATAAATTTCATAATAACATTTCACAATCAAAGTTAGGTTTTCCTGCCTATTGGAAAAATAGTGATTCTCTTAGTCAAAATTTCTAATTACCCGAAAGTTAATCCATATTGATTTCTCCCTTACGACTCCTAAAATTTACAGCAAATTATATATAAACTTCAGGACACCCTAAAGAACCATGGTGACCTGAACTCAGAGCAAGAAGGCAGGCTCGAAGCTCTTACTTTCTCATTCCCCACAACCCAGGACAAGCACGAGAAGTGCAACGCTTATATGGGTGCCTACAATGCAATAGCTGGTACTCTGGTACCTATTTCCTTTGATCTCTGGTTAACTCGAGGTGAAACTTTCAATATTACTTAACTATGTAAGCCTGCATTCTTGTCTTAACCGCCAATCTAATTTCCATTCTTCTAGTCCTGATTCTTTTTATTTATATTTTTCTCTTTTGCCACTTAAACGCCTTATAAATTGTCTTAAACACTTTTTGGAACAAGGCTTGGGATGTCAAATTATGAAAATTAAAGTTGGCTTGCTTGGGCTGGGTGCGGTGGCTCACGCCTGTAATCCTAGCTCTCTGGGAGGCCGAGGCGGGCGGATTGTTTGAGCTCAGGATTTCGAAACCACCCTGAGCAAGAGCGAGACCCCGTCTCTACTAAAATTAGAAGGAAATTAATTGGACAACTAAAAATATATAGAAAAAATTAGCCGGGCATGGTGGCACATGCCTGTAGTCCCAGCTACTTGGGAGGCTGAGGCAGTAGGATTGCTTGAGCCCAGGAGTTTGAGGTTGCTGTGAGCTAGGATGATGCCACGGCACTCTAGCCCGGGCAACAAAATGAGACTCTGTCTCAAAAAAAAAAAAAAAAGTTGGCTTGCTTGGCAGCTTTATGATTAACATGGAATATGGTTTGAAACATTAAAGATGTAATATATTTGTAGTTTTACCAGGACTGTGTTGAGCACTTACAAATTTGAATAATTATAGCAGGAAATGTTCAAAGTTCTGACTTCTAGGCCAGTCTAATTAGTGAGTGCTTTACTATGCATTAAAATTTTATTCCTAGTAAATTTTGGCTATTATCTGTTCACCTTTATAATAGAAGTTCTAAATAAAAACCAGCCTAATCATGTCTGAATTTAATAGCAAAATAAAGTGATATTATATCGGCATCACTAAATTATTATATAAGATTCACTTTTTCAATTTTTGAATTTTTTAAATTGTCATAAAATGCACACAACATAAAATTTTCCATCTTAACTATTTTTAACTGTACATTCAGAGGCATTAAGTACATTCACATTATTGTTCTACCATCACCACCATCCATCCACAGATCTCTTTTCATTTTGCAGAATTGAAACTGTTTCATTATGTTTTCCTCTTTAATAATCATTTTCACAGGTGCCTGCAAAACAATAAAATTAGATCAATATCCATCTATGCTTTCAGAGGACTATACAGCCTTACTAAACTGTAAGTACCGGTGCCAATTAATTTGCCCATTCCATGGTTGTCCGACAGCCTGACCCATTCCAATCCAGACCAGCCCTCCTGCCCCCGACAGTGCCAAGGAGATGGGCAGTAGTAGTGCTGAAGGGACAGTATAGCATCATGGCTAAGAGCGTGGGATTTGGGGTCAGACAGGCTTCAGTCTGAGTCCTGACAACTTTACTCACTACTGCCGTCCCCAGCCCCAGGCCACAGAATTACTGGTTTGTGGCCTGTTAGGAACCTGGCCACACAGCAGGAGGTGAGGGGCAGGAGAGCCAGCAAAGCTTCATCTATATTTACAGCTGCTCCCCATCGCTCACATCTCTGCCTGAGCTCCGCCTCCTGTCAGATCAGCCACAGCATTAGTTGCAGAAAAACAAGCTCAGGGCTCCCACTGATTCTGCATTATGAGGTGTTGTATAATTATTTCATTATATATTACAATGTAATAATAATAGAAATAAAGTGTACAATAAATGTAATGTGCTTGAATCATCCCAAAACCATCTCCCCCATTGCCCCTGTCCGTGGAAAAATTGTCTTTCGTGAAACTGGTCCCTGGTGCCAAAAAGGTTGGGGACCACTGACTTACGAGGTGTGTGACCTTGAGTGATTTATTTTCCTCTCTAGACAATCATCTCCTCTACTATAAAATGCAAATTATAATAGTGCCTACCTCAGGGTTATTGCAGGGAGCAAATGAGAAGATCCATGGGAAGCGTTAGGTACACTGTGCCTGGCGCATAATGAGGACTTCTGTTCATTAGCCGTTGTAACTCAGGAGTGATTCAAGGAGCTCAGAGTAAGAAAGCCTGATGATCGTATTTGTGAATAAGGAAAAAACCCAGAAGCTCCCCCAGTTATTGTTATTCTTTTTTCACTAATCCCATTTTTATGAATATATAAAGCACTGTAAGGTTAAAAATAAAGCTTTTTATTGTGGTAAAATATACATAGTATAAAGTTTACCATAACTGTACAGTTCAGTGGCATTAAGTACATTCGCATTGTTGAAAAGGGTTCTGTGGATGGCTGGTGGTGACGGTAGCACAACAATGTGAATGTCCTTAATGCTTCTGAATGTACATTTAAAAATTGCTAAGGTGGTAAGTTCTATGTTATGTGTATTGTATGATAATTCTAAAAACTGAAAAATTGAAAAAAGGCTTAACCATCATCACCATCCACCTCCAGAACTTTGTCATCTTCCCCAACTGAAACTCCGTACCTGCTAAACAATAACTCCCCATGTCCCCCCGCCCCGCTTCTCCTTCCCCAAGCCCATAGCAACCACCATTTTACTTTCTGTATCTATGAATTGACTCCTCTGAGTGCCTCAAAGAAGTAAAATCATAAAATATTTGTCCTTTTGCGTCCAGCTTATTTCACTTAGCATTCTGTCTTCAATGTTCATCCACGTTGTAGCATGTGTCAAAATTTCCTCCTTTTTAAAGCTGAATAACATTCCATTGTATGTATATACCACATTTTGTTTGTCCATTTATCTCTTGTTGGCCATTTGGATTGTTTCCACCTTTTGTCTGTTGTGAATAACACTACTATGCACACAGGAGCACAAATATCTGTTTGACTCTCTGCTTCAGTTCTTTCAGGTGTATTCCCAGAAGTGGAGTTTCTGGGCCATATGGCAATTGTATTCTTGATGTTTTGAGGAACTGCCACACTGTTTCCAGAGCAGCTGTACGGTTTTACTTTCCCACCAACAAAGTGCAAGGGTTCCAATTTCTCCACATCCTCACCAATACTTGCTATTTTCTGGTTTGGGTTTTTTGTTTGGTTGGTTAGTTTGACGATAACTATTCTAATAGGTATGAAGTGGTATCTTATTGTGCTTTAGAGCAAAGCTTTTTAAAATAGGCTTTCTCAAAGTTCCATCTTATTGATTTCTACCAAGGAGCCTCCTATGAGAAGTAACTGAAAGGAAGTATAACAAAAAATCACTTAAATAAATAACTCCCTGTATTTCCATTTTGTCCCCTTGTTTTCTGTCCTAACCCATGCTCTACCCTAACCCAGGAAATCCATTCCAGTCAGATTTTTAGCTTATGGAATCGAGTTTAGGATTGAGTCAAGAGGAGCGTAATTTACTAGCAAAATGGAAGAAGGCCACAGGAGACCCAGAGCCTTAACAGCAACCACTTTAGCCATGTCCTCTTCCCTTCTACCCATCCCTGCTCTTGGTGTCTTAGCAAAGTACCCAAAGTCAATGTTGGACTCATTCTCACCAGCCTCCTATCTTTCTCTCCGTGAATCTTTTCAAAACTTACTAAACTTGGTTTAATGTTCAGTGTATGTGGAGGACGCTCTTGAATTGTAGCACAGACTGGAAGTAAACTTAAAGGTGTCTCCATCTCTCTTCACTGTTTTTTTTAATAATTCTGGAATATTGTTTGAATGTTAAACATGCCACATACTTCTAGTTTTTTCATAAATAACCATAAGATACATGTTCTTTGCTCATCTGTAGTATTTATTAACCCTCATGTAGTATGAGTAGTTCAGCTAGACACAGGAGGGCACAGAAAGATAAACCAGACGTGCTGCCTTTAAGCGGCGTATACCATAGTATTTCAGGCCGATCTCCGAGCTATCGCTGGGCAGAGGCATGCGCTTGCTCTCTAGAAGCGTGTGATCTAAGATGGGCAAACAATACCGATGCATACATAACAATTAGAAAATAATGAAAAAGTATGTAAGTCCTACACCTGTGCTGCTCAGACCAAAACTGCTGTTATGGTTCACTGAAAGTGTGGTCACTTCTGGTCCAGAGCAGTGAAGGGTGGCTCTGAGAAATGAAGAGGACTGGGCGAAACACACGAGCACAGGATGACGGGGTGGATCAAATGCCTTGTACCTGGGGCAGGGGGTGCGTTGCTTTATAAGAGAGCCCCCTGAGGGTTTTCATGGTAGGTGTTAAAGCTATTTTTTAACCTACCTGCGCCCACCTGAGCTCTCGGTTTGCAAAGGAGGGAAGGAAGTGGCTCTATCATGGGGTGTCATCCCTCACTACCCCTAAGCAAAAGTCAAACCTCGTGGGAGACAACAGATTCCTGGCAGGAGAAATTTTATAGGATGTCAACTCCAAGATATGTAAGAATGGAGAAAAGGAAAAAAAACAGTGTGAACCATGTATTAGTGGAAGTGAAATTTGAAATAATACTTGCATATGAATCATAGACAGAGGGGGAAAAAAGAGGGAATAACTTGGAGTGTTCAGCAGCTATTTTATGACTGAGCAAAAAATTTTTTTTAATTAAAAAAGGAAATTGGAGTGGGAGGCATGAGCAGAGATATTGTTATAATAAATAATGTATATTGAGTCTTTATGGCATGCATTGCCCCAAATGTTACAACAACCCTAGGAAGTAGGGATTGATATCCCCATTTTAGAGTTGGGGAAGCTGAGGCTCACAGGAATTAGTTGCTTGCTCAAGGTCACACTGTTAATAAATGGAAGAGTCATGAATCAAACTGTTTGGCAGCAGATTTAGTGCAACAAATTGCTACACTAAGAGATTGAGATGGGAATGAACATGGCAAGAGGAGGACATCAACATTAGAGAACAGAGCACTAGTTCACTCTGCAGAAGAGTGGGAAGCGAAGTTGGGTAGGTAGGACGGGGTCAAACTCTTTAGCAAGGCATGCAATGCCCTTTTTTCCAGAGCAGGCCTCCATCTGCCTCCCAAGTTCATCTCCTGTCTCTCCTCATAGCCCCTCATGGTGAGATTCCACTGAATTACCTGGTGATCTCTTACCTTGTTACTCTCTCTCGTACCTCTTGCTTTTAGACAAGCTATTCCCTCTTCCTAGAATAGCTCCTGCCCATTCTTTGCTTTGTGAATTCCATGACTTCATCCAAGACTCTTCTCAAGTATGTCTCCTTTAGTAAAGCCTTCCTGTCCCCCATTCCTCCATGCTCTGCCATGCCCATCCCTAGCGAAGTCGGGTGCTTTCTCCTCTGTGATGGCAGAGCAGCCCTACATTATGCACTTCCCTCTGCTTCCCCTATGTTGCATCATAATCTAGTCACATGCTGTCTCTCCCCTCGAGACTCAAAGCCCCTCAAAGAAAGTGATGACAAACTTAGCACAGTGCCATAGAGTAGATACTCATGACAATTTGATAATAAATGAATAGATGGAATGAATAGATAGATTAATTAACTAATTTATTATGGGGAAATTAAAAGCTAGAGATGTTAAGGTAAGTGATAGCAACTCTTAGAGATTCAAAGGCAGGGAAGTGGCATGATGAGAATGCTATATAAGAAAATTTAAGGTGGATAATTATTGCTTTTACTTTCTTTATCGTATTACTATAATAAAATATCAAAAAGACACAAATTTATTGTAGTCATTTATCCTTTTCCAGGTATCTCAGTCATAACAGAATAACCTTCCTGAAGCCGGGTGTTTTTGAAGGTCTTCACCGACTAGAATGGCTGTATGTTTAATTTCTGTGACACTTTATAGTATTCGTTTTTAGGTTCTAAAGATATATAAATGAACTAATTTTTTTCTTCTGGCTGGCAGGATAATTGAAGATAATCACCTCAGTCGAATTTCCCCACTAACATTTTATGGACTAAATTCTCTTATTCTCTTGTAAGTACTAAACTAAAGCAAATATTTCAATTGAAGGAAAACACATAAATAAAAATTAATGCTTAAATTTAATAACATTAAATTTGGGATTTCAATCCCCAAAAAGGTCTTTTCAACTAAAAACCATCTCTTAACCATATTCTATAAGGCTATTCATAGTTCTAACAATTTTATAAGATTTTCTGTCTTCTAGAATATCAGCCTATGTGTTAGCAGGCATGAAAACAGCATTAATCTTGTACATCTCCATCAGAGCTCTTGGGTGACCAGATACATTGTCACTGAGCAGTAATATTTTGGAAGGAATCTCTTTTTCTGAGCAGTAGGTCTCAACAGTGGGCTTGAAATATTCAATAAGCCACGCTGTGAACAGATGTGCTGTCCCCCAGGCTTTGTTGTTCCACTTATAGAGCACAGGCAGAGTAGATTTAGCATAATTTTTAAGGGCTCTAGGATTTTCAGAATGGTAAATGAGCACTGGCTTCAACTTAAAGTCACCGGTTGCATTAGTCCCTGCAAGAGAGTCAGCCTGACCTATAAAGTTTGGAAGCCAGGTATTGACCTCTCCCCAGCTATGAAAGTTCTGGATGGCATCTTCTTCCAACAGAAGACGGTTTCATCTATATTGAAAATCTGTTGTTTAGTGTAGTCACCTTCCTCAATGATCTTAACTAGATCTCCTGTATAACTTGCTGCGGCTTCTGCGTTAGCACTTCCTGCTTCACCTTGCATTTTTGTGTTACGGAAGCGGCTTCTTCCCTTAAACGTCATGAACCAACCTCAGTTAGCTTCCAACTTTTCTTCTGCAGCTTCCTCACCTCTTTCAGCCTTTCTAGAATTGAAGAGAGTTAGGGCCTTGCTCTGGATTAGGCTTTGGGAATGTTATGGCTGTTTTGATTTTCTGTCCAGACCACTCAAACTTTCTTCGTATCAGCAATAAGTTTGTTTCGTTTTCTTATCATTCGTGTATTCATTAGAGTAGCACTTTTAATTTCCTTCAAGAAATTTCCTTTGTATTCACAGCTTAGCTGTTTGGCACAAGAGGCCTAGCTTTCAGCCTAACTCAGCTTTTGACATGCCTTCCTCGTTAAGCTTAATCATTTCTAGCTTTTGATTTAAAGTGAGAGATGTGCAAGTCTTCTTTTCACTTGAACTCTTGGCCATCGGAGCATTATTAACTGGCCTAATTTAATATTGTTGTGTCTCAGGGACTAGGGAGGCACAAGGAGGGGGAGATCGACAGGGGAACAGTCAGTTGGTGGAGCAGTCAGAACATACACCACATTTATCAATTGAGTTTGTCATCTTTTATGAGTACAGTTTGTGGTGCCCCAAAACAATTACAGTAGTAACATCAAAGATCACAGATCACCGTAACAGATATAATAATAATAAAGTTTGAAATATTGTGAGAATTACCAAAATGTGACATAGAGACATGAAGTGAGCACATGCTGTTGGAGAAATGGTGTCAGTTGACTTGCTCAACACAGAGTTGTCACAAACCTTCAATTTGTAAACACATCATATCTGCAAAAGCATAATAAAGCAAAGCAGGGTAAGACGAGGTGTGCCTGTATTCATTTTAATAAAGAAATAAAATTAATTTCAAATCACCTTTTCACTACCCATTATTGAAGAGCATAGGCTTTTTTTTTAGTCACAAACATTGCTGCTTCCTCCATAAAATAACTACTATTTGTCAAAATTTTACTACTATCAAGCACTTTAATATAACATGACTTACAGAGAAAATATTGGAGAGAGGACGACTAACTTAGATTTTTGTGGTTTTATAAGAATAATGATAATACCATGTTTGATTTAAGATGACAAAAGAACAAGAAAAATGTGACTTCTTTGTTTGTTTTGGTTTTTTTTCAGAGTCCTGATGAATAATGTCCTCACCCGTTTGCCTGATAAACCACTTTGTCAGCACATGCCAAGACTGCATTGGCTGTAAGTTACTGTATATATTTTTTTAAAGAAATCATCTAAATGTTCTGTTTCATTTTGGACATCAGATTTTTTATAGATCTCTTTAAAATGATAGGTGGTTGGTATTATATCACATCTCAAATCACTTTAGCATGATTTTTGTATTTAACATCCCCATTATTTAAACTAAATTCTCTAAACTCTCACCAAAATAAAACATCTCAAAAAACTACTTTGGAACCTGGAAGAAAGACAGAAGGAATGTCACAGTGTTCATGTAACATCTCCCCCACTCCCCTGCCTATCTGCTCATCTATTCATTTGGTACGGAAAGACTAAGTCATTTTAGCTTCACTCCTAAATTCTGAAAAATGACAATATGATATTTAGTATTTATTTTTTAAAGGCTAATCACAATAGAATATGTTCCATGGAATTTGTAACATAGTAGCTTTGCTTGTAGCAATAAGTATCATTCCACTATTCATATCTCAATTATCCAGGAAATTTGCCTATTAAAAATACAGGTAAAAAACAAAAGAAATAACCAAAATAGCTATTAAAATGTTAAATCAGTAAACTGCACGTGCAGTATCATATGAAAACTTCCCCTGTCTCTTATTTTGGAGGAAATTCTCAAAAGTTGGCTGTTTGATTTCTAAGCTTACAGCAGATTAGAAATGCCAAATGAAAAGGAGAAGGAAAGGTTAGGATCAGAAACATTGATTGTAGTGAGCAGTGACAACCATCAACTTGACAATAAAGCACAAGTGAGAAATACTATAAAAAAACAAAAATAGAAATTCAAAATATGCTAATTCAGAACACCTTAGGGAAAAACAAACATCCTAAAAATCGTTACTAAATCCAGAAGGCATTTTGGTCTGACAGTACCGTACTGCGCTACACACTGATGACAAGCTGAAGTCATAAAGGGAAGGGCAAATTAAGTTCAATATCCTTCATTGTAATTGAATTCCATTCGAATGAATACATTAACAGCGATTACATGCTCAGGACTCCAAACCTAGTAATGAAGCACAATTGATCAATACTTACATAAGTAAATTAGCAATTAAAAATTTGTACACTAGGGCCAGATGCAACTGGGAGATGTATTATGCATGTACAATAATCACCCTTTGCTTTTAAATAAGGCAGAAAAATGTACACTGCTTTAGACAAAAATCAAAGTGATTAAAATTTATTACTAAAAAGATGGACTTTTTAAATCTTTATTACTAAAGTTTTCATCTGTAAGTTTGAGCTATCCAAACTAACTCTTTCCGTGTGCATTCCTGAAAGTGAATATTATCCTAATTTTAATGCTAGTGATAATAATGGTTTGCTTTATAAGTATTCATCTCTTTTAAAACTAATTATAATACCTTTGTCTTACATGAACTTTCCTTTAGCAAAGTATGAACTAGAAAATCTGACAAATTTGTTGGCCAAAATAATTAAAACTCTGATTCAGGGAAAAAACACACATAAAATAAAAAGACATATGACAGCCCAGGAAATTATGCTTTCAAGATATATGACAGACAATATATTAAGATCTTTAGTATAGTTCTTTCAAAGCAATAAGAAAACTATAAACACTACAATAAAAGTTGGAAAATTCAAAAAGAAAGAAATACAAGTAATAAATGAGCATATGGACAGAGCAATAGCCAAAGGTGAACAAAAGGTCAGGAAAGTAAACTTTATTTTGAGATAAAATGAAGCAAGTTTACTTATTGGCAGAATATTCTGAAATTTATAAATAAATAAAAGAGTAAATATGGAAAAAAAGGAGATTCATATAGCAACCAATACAGAAGAAAAAGTAGACATTCATAAGGAGTAAGAGATAATAATCTACCACCATTCATTCAGTCCATAAAAGATCAAGTAGAACCAAAAAAGGATGTGAAGAATAAATAACACAATTAATAAACTAATTGGTGTATATCAAACTGCCATGCCTCTTCTCAATAACCAGACTGATTTATTTGGGACAGCAATGTACCCAGCTGAAATACTACCTTCCCAGACTCGCCTGCATCTACATGTAGCTATGTGTCTAAGTGCTAACTAGGGAGCTAGAAAAAGAATAATGTGGAACTTCTGGAAAATATCCTTAAAGAGAAAGAGGCAGGCCCTTTCTTCTCCTTTCTTATACAGAAAAAAATGAATATGATGGCTTGAGCTTTAGCAACATCTTGTACCATGAAGACAAGGACATGTGAACAGTGAATATGAAAGATCTTGGGTTTCTAACAACTTTGTAAAACTACCAGCCCTGGACTGCCCAACTCTAGATGTTTTTTTCCTTAGGGGGAAAAAAAAAATCTCTGCTTATTTGTGCTATTATAGTTGGATCTCTGTTATATGTACCTGCACCTAATCCTAATAGATATTAACTTGAAAGCAAAGAATGCCCAAAGAACATTCACCAAAATTGACCATATATTTTAGGACATACACATACACAAACCAAACTCAAGAAAACAGATGGAGGGATTAGCCTAAAGCAGAAGGGTCATCTCTTCCTCTGAGACTAGAAGGAGACCAGGTGCATATACAGGTAAGTTTATAGATGTTGGGAAGAAAGTCAAGGGCTTTTCCCTCCTTGGTCACCTCAATTTTCTCTGTTAAACAAGAGCCAGAAAAGTTTAAAAGGTAGGGGAAGAAGTGATAGAGGGTAAGAAGATTTGCATATCTCAAATGCCACTAAGGAGTAAGATAGGAAGTTGAGAGAGAACAGGCAAGATTATTATTTTTATTTTTTGTGGAGTTTTTTTGTTCTTCAGATGGAAGAAGCGAAGTTTTCATTTTCATCCAGTTAGACCATGTATAAAGGGAAAAATGAAGTGGTTAGGTTTAGAGGCTCATTAAGTGGGAAAAGTGGTGGTCTAGACATGCAGTAGAAAAACACCCCTTGCCAACTCCCTTAGAGCTTGGAGCTAGGGAGAAAGAAGCAGGTTTTTTGGTTTGGTTGGTTGGTTGGTTGAGGTTTTTGGCTTCAGCTATCATGTATGCTGAAAACCAGATTCCTAAATATCAAAGACTAAAACTAATTTTAGGAAGAAAGTCAAAGCAAATTTATTGTACAACTCCGGGTTGAAATAAACTCAAAAGTAAACTAACACTTTAATCAAATGTTCCAAATTTGTGCCTCAGTGTGTGCCTCTTTTTGATTTTTACAAATTCATAAATTAGTACTGACAAATATTTTTGCCAGCTTAACAGAAAACGAAGTTACATATGTAGCTGAACAAGAATATCAACACATCTTAGTAAGAGCATTTTGTGAGATTTAAGAGAGCATCACCACCTGGTGGTAGATTCGTGGTAATGGTTAGCTATAAAACAAGAAATTGGCCCATCTCTGACATTGACAACGTAAGTTATGAGAGGCCAAAAGACTTGGCCAAACCTAAGACAGAAAAAGGAGTACTATAAGTGCTTAGTTTCCAACTTAACAGAATAACAGAAATTTTTCTTTAGAAGAGTGATGTAGAATCAAGATTTAAGATTCTAATACAACATCCCACGTAGTACAGAAATCTTGCCTGCAAAATTATTGAGATATGGTATATTGCTTCTGCTAAATACCTATAGTGATAAGAAGCTTATTCTCTGGACACCATAGTTGCTAGAGAGACTTAAATTTAGATTAAACATGAAATGTTTTGTATCCTTCAATCAATAAATCTAATTTTGCAATCTAATGCAACATAGAAAAAATATTCTGCAGCCTGATTTCAAATATATACCCTTATTTTGCTCTTCTCTGTTATAAATACACCCTATATTCTTCTATTGACTTGATTTCTAGATTCCTTGCATCCTGGTCTTTCAGATCTTCCAGATGTGTTTTGATTTGTAGATATCTCTTTTTAATGCAGGGCCTGAAATAAAACTGACTATCCCACGTGTAGCCCAGCCGGCAGAATATAGGTACTTCTATAATGTTGCCCGTGTTTCCCTTGTAGATTTTAGTAGCTTTATCACACTTCCACTCATATGTTTTAGTCGCGGTTATTCCTGAATAGCTGTATGTTATAATATGTGGTGACCAGTAAACTGAATGTTGGGATAGACTGAGTAGATTTTAAGGCCAGCTTTTATTTTTGAAAGTCTATGCCTAAACTTCAGCCAACATTCTGCCCTGCTCTACAAACTTTCACCATATATGTATTTATAAAATAAAAGAAGAACCAGCCTGGTCAATAGCAAGACCCCATCTCTACAAAAAATAAAAAATTAGCTGGATGTGGTGGCACAAGCCTATAGTTCCAGCCACTTGGGAGGCTGAGGCAGGAGGATCACTTGAGCCCTGGAGTTTGAGGTTGCAGTGAGCCATGACGATGCCACTGCACCCTATCCCAGGAGACAGAAGGAGACCCTGTCTCAAAAAAAAAAAAAAAAGGAACAATAAAAGAATAACTTCATGATAGCCATAAAGAAGACACAATAAAACATAAAATTTTTGATAAACTTTGATACTCAGACCAGACTCCTTATAGTAACATAGCATCAGACAGCAAGGGAGCTCTAGTAGGATCTACACATACAGAGCTCCCGGAATTGAGAGTGGAGAGCCAAGGGCAGCCTGTTGCCCCCCCCACTGCGCTGGCCTTTGTGACGACATAAAAAAGCAAACAAGAGTGTTTCCAGGAGTAAAAGGTTATTGAGAATTTTTTTCTGGGGAGTGATTAGGCTAGGAAGGTAGGAGCTAAATGTTGTTTTGGCAGTAGCAGCTTCTGTAGGAAAATAGCATCACACCACTTAGGGAAATGCCATTGGTAACTCTGGGCAAATATTTAATATGTTTCAATATTAGATATCTGCTAATAAATTAAGTATTTACCTAACAAGTGTTTTCAGTTTGACTTCTCATTCTCTTTGGTTTCTCAGAATAATACATTATACATGCCTATATTAACACATGATACAGATGCTACTCAAAACATTTTTATTATTAACATGGGAAAAAACAGGAAATATACATACGTATATATAATTTCAGCTGTTATATAAGTGGCTACAGGTGAGAATTTATGTGAAATAAACAGTATGTGAAGAAAGCATATTTTATTAGAAGGTAAATAATTCTCAGCCAATTTATTTCTGCTTATGATTAAAATTTAGCTTTATCATGTTTTATCTTTATGTTCCAGGGACTTTGAAGGCAACCATATCCATAATTTAAGAAATTTGACTTTTATTTCCTGCAGTAATTTAACTGTTTTGTAAGTAATATTTTATGCTTTTGAAGTACTATTGTATCTCCTTACAAACAAAATGAATCATTTATGAGAACAGAAACTAACAGAAATATGCATAGTAATTATGACAAATGTTCACTCTCTACTTGAAGTTTGTTGACACTGAAAGTACATGAAGTTCAAACCAAGGATAATCACAGATTTATGTTTCTATCTGAGCCTCAAAAGACAGGGTGACCACAAATTTAAACATACATGAATCATCAAAATGACATTGTATTATCTGAAACGTGTTTTTCTCAAACTTAAGTAATATGCAGACCCATTTTAATGGAAAAAAAATTATCATAGAACACCAAGAATCTGTCCTTGTATTGCAGCTTGAGAAACACTGAATTGAAGTCTTAGACTATAAAAATGTTTACCCTTTGCAAATTGTTACTGCAAAAGTTAAGTTTTTCTTTATCATTGTCAAAAACAAAGTTAGTTATAATCAAAATTTTAAGAAAATACTGCAGAATGCTCAGACCCCTGAGGATATAATTATGGACACCAGGATAAACCTTAGAATTTTATTGAGTGTAATTTCTCCTTGTGCCTCTCTGGCTTATTTTAAA